CTCTGTTGCAATAAACACATAGTAAAAAGTAAAATCTTGGTCGAAAGTAGACAAAGCAACCATAGGAATGCTGAGTGATTATCCCTTTTCTCCAATAACAAATTGATAAATTAGTGTTCTTATTTATATAATAATCTCTCTGAGTTTGTTGAATGTGATCAGTTCCTCACCATCCCATGAATACTGAAAGAACAGGTAAGATCAAATTTCCACAGCATAGAGTAAGAAATCTTTTGAGAAAGTACTGTTGAGAATAACAGCCTTCTATCCTCCTACTAAAGGTTGGCTGCAAGCAATAAGAAGCACTTCTATTTATTGTTTCCTACTTGTTCCAGACATATAATATATATTACCTTTTAAAATTCTCAAATAATCTTCTAATACAAATATCTATCCATTAGGAACCTTTGTGTTGGTAGTACAGAAGTTGTATTAAAAATTACAGAGATTTGGGGCGCCTGGGTGGCTCAGTCCGTTAAGTGTCTGACTCTTGGTTTCAGCTCAGGTCATGATCTCAGGGTCTTGAGATCAAGCCCCACGCGGGCTCCGCACTCAGCAGGAGCTCTGCTTGAGGCTCTCTGCCTCACCCTCTGCCTCTCCCCCAGTCATGGGTATGCTCTCTCTCTCTCTCAAAAGATATTTAAAAAAAAAAAATTTTATTAGTTCACTTAATTGAAGAATCTAGAAGGAAGTCACTGTTCAGGCAGTGTTTGATCCAGTGGCTCAAACATATCGCCAGAAACCATTCTCTTTCCTTCTCTATTTTCTGCTTTCCATGATGATTGCTTCACCCCTAGTCTGCCAGTCCTCATGATGCTACATGCTATCTTGTGTACTTCCAGTGGCAGAGAATGCTTCTTTCCTGGTGCGTCTCTCAAAAACCAAAGTTTCTTTCCCCTCTTAAGCATCTCCTTATATCTCAGTGGCCCAAATTAAGCCATGTGCCTATCCCTGAACCAGTCACTTGGGCAGGGGAATGGGCTTCATTCATTGCGTGAAGCCAATCTAGGGCCACCTTTCTTGTTGAGGGGGAGGTGAATACTTTCCAAAATGGGAGAAGGGCAGGAATTTGAGGTGAGTAAGGGAAAATAGATACGTGACAAACAACCTGTCTTCTTTAGATGCAAAATAGCTTGAGCAAAAATAAGAAGTAGGAGTAGTATTGTGTGTATGACTTTCTAGGCAGGGACTTAGTGTTTTAGATACATTTTAGTCTTCAAAACCATCTTGAGAAATAAATGGAATTAATCCTTGTTTTAAAGAAGTTTAGAAAGATTAGGGATGCCTGGGTGGCTCATTTGGTTAAACGTCTGCCTTCGGCTCAGGTCGTGATCTTGGGGCCCTGGGATCGAGCCCCGCATTGGGCTCCCTGCTCAGCGGGGGATCTGCTTCTCCCTCTCCTTCTGCCCTCCCCCTGCATTTGTGCTCTCTCTCTCTCTCTCAAATAAGTAAATACAAAAAAAAAAAAAAAGAAATTAACTTACCCGAGGCCACATAGGTAATGGGACCTAGGTCAGTCTGACTTCAGTATCCATGCTCTTTTCATGATGTCGTGCTATCTCCCTAGTAAACTAAAAATTGACTATAAAAACATATTAAGTATCGTCTTAGAAATCTATCACTGGTGAAGAATTCTAGAAAATAATCCATCCTGTTTTGGTTTAATGTACAATGTACCTATATAGAAATAATCCTTGTTGAGACAGATTTACAAAATGGGAATTAATATCTTGTTTTGCCCACTTTGAACACCAAGATCCTTATGATAGTGGTCAGGTATGGTATATGCACATATACATACATGCGTACACATATAAACATATGTGTTGTATATATGATCGTGTATATCACAAATTCTAAGAGAGGTTCTTTAACTTGGCACTTAATGAAAGCAGCAGGGGAATGAGTTCAAAGGAAGAGACACTATCCTCTACAATAACTGACAGTGAATACTAAAAACTGTCATCTGATGTCACTCTCCAATTGTTCTTCACTTAATGGTAATAATAAAGTATTGTGCCTAGGGGAACATTTCTGGCCCAGTCTGAATTATTTCCTGGGTGACCTACTGCTAGTCTCATACTCTGTCCCCTGGGGAGTTTACTTCTTGCTTCTGGGTTCTTACTGCTTACACTTGCCCAAGGCTCAGGCTTTCAGTACTGAATCACAATTATTTAACTTTTATTGAAGTCTTTGCTTCTCTGCAGTGTTCTGCAAGAAGCTGACTAGGGCTGTGGGGTGGTGCAGCTTTCCTCCTTAAGATCATTCTGTCTGTGTCTTGAATAACTATGAGTTGGAAATAAATTTAAAATTTACTTTAATAATTTAATGATTTCAAGCAAGAAATTTCTCTAAGGCAGAAATATTGTTGGATTAACTAAGAGGCAGTCAGACAATCCTTCATCTGTATCTTTGGCTTGTCTCAGTATTTGGAAATAGCTATATGTCATTCTACTTTCTAGTGCTTTACCTTTATTGACCTGGCTTCACTTTTCAGGCAATTTGTAATTCTATTTAAATGTTGTCTTTTCTTTATTATATTATGCATTTGTTGTTTTACAGTTTTATCTACCAGGGATTGCTTCTTTGCAAATCATTTTTTTAAAAGATGTAGTTTTTAAGGCATTAGTGTTAAGAAGCATCTATCAAAATGAGCTTACTCTTAAATGCGCTAAGTTTTATTGATGGAATTTAAAGAATTTTATGGCACCCATCGGTGCCATTGATAAGAAATGTAATATCCTTTTCTCAACACTGTTTTAACATTTGACAAGTACTTGAAAAGCAAAGTTCTCACCATTGGAGAGGGACTAGGGAAGAAATGTAAAAAGTAATGAAAATGATTCTTGTCTTCATGGGAAGCTTAGAAGCTGCAAGAAGAGATACACATTGTTTTTACTCACTCATTCAAGAGATGTTTATTGAGGTATTATTACATGCTAGACACAGTGTGGTAACCTCTGAAATTATAATAATGAGCAGCAGAGGTACAATTCTTTTCCTAGGGTTTACCATTTGGGGCAGGGGTTAAGGGGTAAAGGAGGATTCACTGAAGGAGTAAATTTTTAAAAAGAACAGGAGGCAGATGGAAAAGTGCTGAAAACGAGCTAACTTTGGAAAGAAATATTAGGATTTCACAGAACACTGAGGTTATGTCATAGGCTGCTTTAAATCAAATTCCAGAAAAGCTCTTTTCATTTGAAAACTATTCCAGAGCTCAAACAAAATGCTATGTGGTTGCAAGACCAGGAATCTGCACTTCTTCTGAAATAGGCGCCAACATATATCTAACAAAGAATTAATATATATGAATATTGGACCAAGTAATAACTTGAACTAAATATTGATTTCAAGTCCACTGAATTGGTATACCTATTAAAGTAGAGAAATCAGTGGTTAGTTTTGCTGTTTACTGTTGCTTGAGTGTGTTTTGTTCAGAAAATTAAGTTAAGCTTGATGGAGACTGTTTCAATAATCTTCCTAGTAATTGAATGCATTTGATATTCTCTTTAAAAGAACAGAAAAAAGAAATTATCTGACACCGTTAAGATTATTTTTAAGCATATAGCTGTTGATTTTGTAAATGGCCCACCTAAATTTGCCTAACACTTGATTTGTGAATAAGAGAAGAAGTTAGAGAAAGATAACATTATAAGTAGAGTTAGGCAAGAGTTTATTTTCCAGGTACTCTCATTAAAGAAAAAGCCATTAAGTCTTCAGCTCTAGAGTTGTTCTATTTAAGGAAGCCTGGATCCCTGGTGAAGAGGATTACAAAATTCAGGAAATGGCAATTAAAATGCTAATCCCTCTTGCAAAATTCTGGTTTAGAATCTGAGGGTCTAATAGAAAGTGGGAATGATTGTTTTGAGAGAACATTCATTCTAATATATTTAACTTTTTAAAAAAAATACAATTACACTCTATACTAACAAGGAAGAATAATCAAGTCTTCTTATAGCCTTTAATGCGATGTGAAGAATGAATGCACAGTTGAAGGTCGACAGTATTTTAATATGGTTGAGATGGGTGATAGATGGCTCTTCAGCTTTGGAAATAGTGCTTCTAAAAAAACTGAATTGTGAATTTCATTTAATTTTATTCAATTTAAAATGGATATGATTGAGTTACTAGAAAATTTTAAACATGTGTGAAACAGCGTAGGCATATGAATATTCTGTTTCAACTATAAATTTATGAAACCTAAATACAGATCAAATATTTGAGATGTCCCACAAAATGTAAAATAAACAACATATTTTGAAGACTTAGGATGATAAAATGTAAAATATTTCCACTATAATTTTGTAATGATACATACTGGTATAATATATTTTGGATATATTGGGCTAAAGAAAAAATATATTATTAAAATGAATTTCACCTTTTTGTTGTTGTTACTTTTCCAAATGTGGCTACCAGAAAATTGAAAGTTACTGTGTGTTACATTTCTTTTGGACCATGCTGATTTAAAGAGTTGCTCTAAGACATCACTGAAATCCATTTGATGCCCAAAATGCAATCTGGCTCAGCAATTAAATCCTATCAAAACCATAGCTCCCCCCCTCTGGCTCTACCATCAGTGACTTAATTATCATAAGCAGTCACTGAATCTGATAACTAATTTGATCTCATCTACATTTTAAACTCATAATAGTTATAATCTTTTATTTGGTATTAGAGAAAATAAAATTTCACAGAAAATTTGGGCCAGGTAAATCGGTGAGAAATTGCAACAGAGGAATTGTATGATTTTGTTTGAGTATTATCATGTGTTAGATAATACACAGTGTGAAGCACTTAAATTACTTAAACTGTATCTGGGTAAGTTTATGGTATCTGTTTTCTAATAGATGTGTTCTTTCATCTTTTGCTTTATCCTCACCTCAAACAAAATTGGCAGAAAGCATGGTCGAATGTGTAATTCTTTCAGTTTTGTCAGGTATCTCTAATAGGCAGTACATCCTGATGATATTTCATTGTTCATCTGTCAATTCTTCTAGGAGGTGATTTCCTGTCCTTTCTGAGAAAGAAGAAGGATGAAATAAAGCTCAAACAATTAGTGAAATTTTCACTAGATGCTGCTTCTGGTATGTCCTATCTCGAGAGTAAAAACTGTATACACAGGTAAGGAGGACATTTTTTTAAACATTTTCTGGTTGTATCAACAGAACGCTAGAGAAGTGACATATTTGCTGCAATATAGCAATGAAGTTCTTTCATAAAACTTACATATTTTCTTGTTGGTTTTCGTGTTTTGTGGGAAAGCCTTCTTTGATAGTTGGTTATATAGTTTATAGAAACACTTGTTTTCTCTTACCTGAGATAAGTACACCTCATTAGACAATGAGCTACTTCCTGATTAAAATCTGTTGTATTATAATCATGAATGACATATTGATAAGATGTACCACAAGTTAGTCATATAATTAGCTACAGTCTTATAGCCAAATAGGATTGTTTCATCTGCTCCCTATTCTCATTTTGTGAAGAAATTACTTAAAAAGTCTTGGAAGAGCATAATAGTAAAACAACAATTCATGACAGTGAATTGGCCAAGGGTAGAAGATATTAGCATAATAGTTATTTCAAGGGAGATTTAGAAAACTTGTCTAATTACTTTAAGAGCAGTGACTTGGTTGTAATGCTTTTATAGATTGTGGTTTTAGTTGCTTGTAGCTGAAAATGTTCTTTATTGCTAAATGTCGGTACAACTTAAGATGTCTTGCTGAATTCATGTGAGAGCCTAAATATGGCTAAGTGTACATAAGCAAAATGAAGTGGGGGCATTGATGCAGTTTTTATTCACTGGTAACAGCAGGTAATACTATTTAACATGGGGCAGAGTTCATTGTCAGATTGAACGATTATGGACTTTATCTAAATTGGTTCAGTTATGGATGTTTGTTTTTCTCTGATGTATTTCATTATGCAGGTTTTGATTTAACATTCTGGTAAAATTGTATAATGTGTAATTATATAGCAGAACAAAAGTACCTTCACCTGAAATATATATTGATTTGATCTCAGATGTCCCATCTGCCCCACCCCCCACCCCCCACCCCCTGTCTCCATTTTTGAGTTGGGCCAAGAAAGAATTTAGAGCCAAACTCTCAAGTAAAAAAGAGTTTAATAGCAATGAAAGCAAAAGCACACTCTCAAGGTGGACGAGCGGGCAGACCCAGAGACGGCAGCTGCACCAGGGACCAGGGTGGTCTTTCTTTTTTATGCTCGCAAGAGTTATGGGCTGGTCCTCTGACTAGGGTTGCCTCCAATCATCTAAGGTCTCCTCCTAATAAAGAGGGGGAGTTTTGGTCCTATATGGCCCTTATCTGAACTGTCACAGAGCCATACCTCTGCAAGGGGAGTGGGGGGGTAGTCAAGACCACAATGCAAATGTGTTCTCATGAAGCTATAGGTTATTGTAGGGCAGCACTTACAGGGAAGAGTACATGCGTGTGCCCTCTGGCTGAAACTTGGTTTCCACCCTTCTTAACAGACGAAAATAGCTGTTACCTGCTCATGTCTGGCTAACTATCTGCTTTATCAAACTGATTATTTAGTTTTCCAAAAAATTTTGCCACATTTTCAATTTTATTCTAAAACTGAAATCATGGCTTGTGTTTCCAATATAGCTCAATGGTCACCTATATTTTAAAATACCTTTCAGTAGAGATATTGTATTTCTGGAAATGAAGAAAACTAAAACTTAGCCACTGTCCTTGTATTTTTGTTTTACTTTCTATGACTAGAGATCAAATCACATTATAATAAGATATTTTTATTTTATTTTTTTTTAATTCAGGTTTTTTTCTTTAATTTAAATTCAATTAGCCAACACATAGTACATCATTAGTTTCAGATGTAGTGTTCAACAATTCATCATTTGGGTGTAACACCCAGTGCTCATCACATCACATGCCCTCCTTAATGCCCATCACCCAATTACCCCATCCCCCTACCCCCCTCCCCTTCAGCAACCCTCAATTTGTTTCCCAGAGTCGAGAGTTTCTCATGGTTTGTCTCCTCTGATTTCTTCCCATTCAGTTTTCCCTTCTGTCCCTTACGGTCCTCTGCACTGTTTTTTATATTCTGCATATGCGTGAAACTATGTAATAATTATCTTTCTCCGATTTTTAAAGATTTTTAAAAAGTATTTGATTTTGGGCAAGAATTGCATTATTAATTTCATTAGAAGAAAACAGTTTTGTTAAAAGTAACAATGAAGGGTTTTGTTCTTCATTTATAGAAAATCTATAATTTTGGCTGCTCAGGTTTTAAAGCTACTTCAGGCACCAGATTCTCTACTGTAGTTACTCATTTTGTCTCAGATTTTATTTTTCAAATCATTAGACTATAGCTTTAAATTACAATGAATAAACCACATTGAAACTACTTAATTAATTGTCAGTTACCAGTACCAGTCTTTAATTTCTGTTGCCTCCTGGTTGAGGGAATTGTTTCAATTTCTTGCTACTTTTGTAGTGATTGCTTTTCTTGCAAATGGATGACTGTATTTTTTTAAATGCTGTGTCATCAGAATTGAAATGATTCAAAGTTGTAGAGATAGCCTCTAAAAATTTATCCCACTCACCGAATCATAACATTACCTGCTGTAATGTTATTTTTCCATTTTCCTTGTTAAGAATTTTTATGCATTCACAAATTTTTGAATGTCAACCCTTGCTTGAGCACGTATTCTAGAAGGTTGTACCTATTCCTGTACTATTTGCCTGTGGGGAAGGTTCCTGATTGAATAACTTAAACAATATCACTGAGAGCAGGTTTGACAAATAGATTTCAGTGCCAATTTTCAGTGATTGGTAGTGGCTTTCTGTGTTGTGTATTGAGAAAGATTCCAGGATCAGTGACAAAGAGTCCATTGATTGATCAGTCACATCTGTTAGGGCACTGATAAGCATTAACACACAAGCCCCAAATTTGTCATCCATGGCATAGAATATTTTCTTTTTGTCTTTATTTTAATAAATGCTTTTCTTTTTTCTATGATTTTCCTTATTCGCCATATAAAGCAACAATGTAATGTTTTCTGACCAACACTTCCACTGATTTCTTCTAAACTATCTGCTATTCTGATTTTCCCTGTTGATCCTGATTAGTGGATGAATTTTATACCTCCAGCCAGTGGTCTTTCGTTACTCTTGAAATTTATGTAAATGCTCTTTTGGATGAATTCATTTTCTTTTTCTTTGCATTTCAGTACCTCACCAATACATGACACTATGTTGAAAAAATAAAATATTCTTTGTGTTGAATTTTTTATAGAAGTGAATTGTACCATAGAACCCTCTTCCTATGTGTCATCCTATAGAACTATTTCTGTGGTAGTAATAGTAATTGCAATGGATTTCAATTGATTTATAGTTAAAAGATGCACTCAAGACATGTTACGTGTTTTTTCTCCTAAGAAATACCAAAATATAAATATAAATATATAGTATTCATTACAGTGAAAAGCATTTTTCCTCATTGGAAATGAGGAAATTCATTTTAAAAATTGATTAATCTGAACATGATCGAAAGTTTCAATTTTCAAGTAGTGAAGAAAGACACCCAGCCCTATTCTTGACATCCCCAAATATTACTAAAAATATATGCATGTCTATGAATTATGAAGTCTTTGTCCCACAGATCAAAGCAAAAATTTTTAATGTGCTTTAAATTTTATATGAACTTACATATTTTATCCTGTTCAGTGATTAGAAGTTCCTAGAATGCAGTACCTGAAAATATTTCTAATTGTGTCTCATCAAAATAGTATCTTAAGTTTGGGGGGACACATTTTCTTTCTTTAGCTTTGTTTTGTTGTTTTGATTACTATGAGAAGAGCAGAGCAATGTTTTGTTATAGATAAACAAGTATGACAGCTATAAAATGGAAACAAGTAATTGCATGAAGAAATGGCCTGCTTTTGGAAAATATTCTTGTAATTTCCATTTAACTTCCCGAAGGGTTCTCTTGATACTCTTAAGTTTCTAATTGAAACTATTTCTGTTTATAGCTAGTGAATTGCTGGATATTTTGTGTTTAGTTGTAATCAACTGCATTTTCTTTATAATTATTCTGTAGACCAATGTGAGATTTTCTTTCCTACTTGTACCTTATAAAGATTTGAAGTATACTGATAAACTTTGGGCTGTGTGTGTGTTTACTTAAAATGGTATGGGGCGCCTGGGTGGCTCAGTCGGTTAAGCGACTGCCTTCAGCTCAGGTCATGATCCCGGAGTCTCGGGATCGAGTGCCGCATCGGGCTCCCTGCTCAGCGGGGAGCCTGCTTCTCCCTCTGCCTGTCACTCCCCCTGCTTGTGCTCTCTCTTTCTCTGTCAAGCAAATAAATAAAATCTTAAAAAAAAAAAAAGGTTGTTAGATGTCACTCTAGAAAAAGCATTAAACCTGATTAATTTTGATGTTAAGTAGATTGAAGCTTGACATTATACTAGGTATAAGTGGGAGTGACATTTACGGTTTTATTGCTGAGGAATCTTACTGGAAGATTTATTTTTATTTGGGTTTATTTCTAAAAGTTGGCTTTCTGCCGTGTTCTTTGGTGTCTGTGGAAAGTAAAGAAAGGATAAGCTTTTGATTGGTATGTGTTTGTGTTAAAGACCAATCTGTGGGGAATTTTGGAAGCATTTCTTAATTTCATGATATTCTGTGTTAAAACCAGAAAAGGTGTTTTTGGAGAGATGCTTGTAGAAAATGATTTTACTTTTCTAATTTTAAATCTTGGACTGATTTCTCTTTATTTTTGGTTGCTTTACTGCAATGATGTTTTGTTGTTACGGAGTAAGGCTAATAACTCTACAAATTAAAGCCCATAAGATCAGATTTATTGTTTAATAAGGGTTTTGCTTATCCACTGAGAATGAAGATATTTCCAGCACTTCACAAATGTGAACAGTTGCCTACTCTGTGCCAGGCTGATGTCAACAAGAATCATTGTCCCTGCCATCAGGTAGATGTAACACAAAATAATAATTATGCAAAGAGATAATCAAGTTAGTGATAATATGTGCAGAATGCCATGAGAGTAATATTAAGAGGGTCTAATATGACCTTTTAATATGGGGGTTATGGTGGGAGTAATCAGGGCTATGGTGAGATAA